GGGCCAAAGTTTACCGTGAGAAGTGGTGCCGGTCGAGTATATTTGAGGGCCTAAAGAGCCAGTGCTTAAAGATTATAAGGAGTTAAGCCGGATAAGAGTTCGGCTAGGTGTGGTTTTACTCCTCAAAATAAAAAATATAAGGAGTTAACGCCTTTTAAGGGATCGGCTAGAGATGCCTTAAAACTGTCACATGCCTTGAAATCTCTGCTTAAAATAATTGTCCACGGCCAAAATCAAGTGTATATTTAATACAGTGTTTCCAATATCTACCCATAATTTAATGATTTGAATGAGATTAAGTGCGAGCATGCTTGCATACTTGCATGTCATTTAGTAGGGGCATGATCATTTCTCATAAAATATTTCTTAGATCTGGGTTTTTTCTGAGTTCGTATGCATAGTGAGCTGATGGCAGATATAGTGAACCAAAGAAAGTATTATGGAGCTACAAGTGATCATAGAAGGAGACACATACCTGCTGCAAACCAAAAGTTTTCACATGCGAAATGATCCCGTCAATGCTCCAATCGGGAAGCTTTGAAATCGGAGAAGTTACAGGAAATAACATTTCAACAATTTCTCTTCTGCCTTGGGAAGCAGCAACTTCAATTGGAGTTATACCAAACTGCAAGAGCAGAAGACATTGTAGATTTCGCAATGAATAATCACTAATATAAATATCATGTGCAGTTGCAAACAATTTCTATGTCAATGTGATTCAAAATTTAGCACATTTCAAACAAATAACTAAATATACTTTGCACAATATCAAATGCATGAAGCAATTATGGAATAGCCTAATGCCCTCACCCATCCTCGTCCAAGAAAATCTTGGGTTAATTTCTGCAGTTAATTGTAACGAAAATCTTAAGAGAAGTGTGTCACTTTTAGTGCATAAATTTATTTATGAAAATTTACGAAAAGAACAAATGGGGCCAGATCAGCTTATTCTACTGCCTGACCTCATAGAGGACCAATAGTAGTCAGGTAAATACCAACAAAAAGTACGCATGAGAAGTAGAGCCTGACAGCAGTCAAACTGGAAACTGTATAACTCACTTCATCTGCAATATTCGGGTTAGCACCAGCTTCTAGTAAACAGTTCATGATGCCAGCTGAGCCACAAGTTGCTGCCAACGCCACGTAACTACCACCATTCGAGTCAGTGAAATCCACATCAGCGCCAGCCTGAGTAAATTAATTATTATTTGATCACCTGAGTTAGTGCTTGAGATGTAATACAAAGACAAATTACTCGTGATGGGATAAAATTGTCCTACAGAATACACTTAACGGAGATCCACGAAGGAAGGTGACTAACCTTAATGAGTAGCTTCACACAGTTCACCGGTGCAGTTGGTATGGGTCTTATGGCCATACTCAGCGGGGTATCATCAAGGTTGAGAACCTTGTTTGGCTGCAGAAAGTGGATAGATCAAATTCCCATACGTGAAGAAAGGAAAATTAGAGAAATAATATCACCTCATTTGGTGTTATATATTATGCATGTATTGGTGATGTTCACAAAGAAATTAGACATAATATTTACCATACTGTGGGGAAGTGACTGTGTTTCACTTCAAAAGAACTACGTAATTATGATCAAATGCTGAATATATATCCGTAGCTTTGTACCAAAATAAACTCTTCATGTACCAAAGTAAAAGTGGCCACATTGTTCCCATTCCAGTGCATGATAGCGTCAATGGGATGTATACATTCTTAAGGGTCTTCACAAATCCGGTTTTTCTTCTTCTTTTGAACAGCCCAGTGTGTACAGAGAACTGATGTCTTACATCTGCGTGGTGCTCCAACAAAATCTTCATTGTGCCATCTTGACCATAAGTAGCAGCCAAATGCAACGGAGTCCCAAGCGGGGAAGGTAAATCCACATCAATTCCTCTTGAAAGCAGCAGGTTGACTATTCCTTGATGTTCTGAAGAAGAAATTATTAAAAAGTTAATAACTCCAAATTATTTCCCAACATTTAACTTGTCTTTCACACATGCATGACACCTGACTATACCTCGGGATACTCTTTATCAGAATTGCCAGCCAAATTACGATTTTAGACTAATATACTAGTTCAAATTTTGACAGAACAGTTAAGAAGTTAACTAGGGCCATGCTCAGGATAACTAAACAACAATTTGCAAAAAAAAACTTATGCGAATATATTTGCGCCTGCCTTGTCGGTCAGATTGGACCGCATGAAGGCCGGGGCCACTCCTAAACCCTCTAGATCTTTCGATCGTTTTCAAGAGCCTACTGCAGTTTGTATCGTGTGATTTCATATGCACTTAAATAGTATTGAAAATAATTATTCCAAATTATATATTATTTGTGTGTGTTTACATGAGAGAGACCTTTGTGTGCAGCAGCATGGAGAGGCGATCCTGTTTTACCACCTAACTTTGGATCGGCATCATGAGCAAGAAGATATTTTGCAGCCACAGTTCTCCCAAAAAATGCAGAAAGGAATAGCGGAGTTTCACCTGTAAGAAAAACAAAGACCAGTAGCTCAGCACAAAATCAAACCTGCCTTCAACAATACAAATGTTCCTTTATGGACAAGGCACGGATACTTTACTACTGTTTTACAATCCGTTCCCCTCAATATCAACTTTAGGCGGACGCTTGTTGGAAATCGTTGGGAGGCCTGGCTCCATCTGGTTCGTCGTTTAATGGATGTCCGGTTGTCTTCTCACCCTGATCAGTTGCATTGGAAACTTACTAAGAACGGTGTGTTCTCGGTCAAATCAATGTATCAGGATGTCATTAACTCTACTGTCATCCCTACCTCCTTACATGTTTGGCAAGTTAAGGTACCCTTACGTATTAAAGTGTTTATGTGGTTTGTGCATAAACAAGTCATTCTGACTAAGGATAACCTTGCAAAACGTAATTGGGTAGGTCCGTCTCGATGTAGCTTCTGTGATCATTCTGAAAACATCAAACACCTCTTTCTCGATTGCCCGTTGGCTAAGATTCTGTGGCGGTCGGTTCATATTGCTTTTAATATTAGTCAGCCCACCTCTATTAGTATGTTATTTGGAACATGGCTAGATGGGGTGGATTCTGACATTGCAAGACACATTCGGGTTGGCGTTTGTGCACTTTTGTGGGCAATATGGAATTGCAGAAATGACTTAGTCTTTAACCGATCAACAAACATTCACTTTTTGCAGGTTATCTTCAGGGCCACGGCGTTCATCCGTATGTGGTCGCTACTCACTCCGACGGAGGCCAGGGAGCGTTTGGTTACTGCGTCTACCCGATGGGAGATGGTAGCTCGGGATATTTTCAACCGGTTTGGATGGCGGTCATGTAATAGGATAGACATGTAGTGATCCTATTGTTTTGCCAGCCGGTTGTGGCTTTGGGCTTTTCTTATTTACAGATTTTGTTATAGTTTCTACTATGACCTTTCGGTACTATGCTATTGGTTTATCCTTTTAATAATATGAGCCGTATGCATCTTTCTGATGCAGAGGCTGGGGCACGTCCCCTTTTCCAAAAAAAAACCGGATACTTTACTACTGTTAAAAGTGCTCAATGTGGAACCGGAACATCATTAGTCCTAATTGATGCATTACGCAGTGACTCTCCTATGTTTGCTGTTTAAAACAAAGATAGCACAAAGACACAAATGAAGGTGCAAGAGACACCTATACATTCAAGAAATCAAGATATGCTGGTATAAATGTCCCATGAATGAATTTAAAATATTTAAACTCAACTTCGAATTTAAGTATAAGTGTATGCAGGGTACGATAACCAACAATATGCCAAGGGTGTTGCAGATGAATGGCCCTCACTTTCATTGAATTTCACAGAAATACTGAAACTTAAGCGTGCGGTGCCAAAAATATTTGTGAAACTGAAACCCATAGAAAGGCCCGAAAAAGAAGAAACCCATAGAAAGAATTGTTCATTTTGTTTTCTATTTTCGGAAGACAAAAAAAAAGTTGCATAACGCTCTCTTCAGGCCGTATAACTATGCAAGAGATGCAGAATTGAAGGGAAGGCAACCTAACCATTGTCGTTTGTTTGGTTGATGTCAAGGCGGAGGTCCTCCACGAGATACCTGCAGACGTCCATCTTCTCCTCCATGGCCGCCAGGTGCAGCGCGCTGTTCCCGCAGTTTCCGTCAACCACCGCGGCCATGATGGCCGCCTCGCCTGGCCCCGAGTTGAGCCTCCGCGCCATCTCTTGGCACACGCGCGCGACGGGAAATGCTTACCATTGACTCAGGTACTAAACACACTTGGATCCACACCTAGGGCAGACCAACGAACCCTAATAATAAGATAAAAGAGCAAACACGAGCTTGGTCGGGTTACTTTTGACGAGGCGGAGGTTGCCGTCGAAGGCGGCTTGGAGGAGCATCCTCTCCTGCTGCTGCTTCTCCATGGCGATCGGAAGGCGAAGCGACGAGACCAATGCAAGTGGTAGACTGATGCGAGACTCCTGGTCAGTTAAAGAATAGAGGATCTACGCCGTAACTGGTTGCGGTGAAAAAGGCCCCGCTGATTTAGATGATTATCATGATTTTCTTTCCTTTTTGGGGGGGCTTTCCTAACGGAAAACAAGCTTCAAATACTATAAACCTAATCTAAATGCTAGTATGATGTACTCCCTCCTTCCATCTATATAAGGCCTAATGCGTTTTTCAAGACCGCTCTTGACTATTGACAAGATTAATAGTACATGACATGCATAATGTGAAAATTATATCATTGAAAGCTCCTTTCACTTACGAATTTGACGGCGTGCTTTGTTTAAGTTGCATGTCATATATTATTGCTCTAACATTTGGTCAAAGTTAGTCTCAAAAAACGCATTAGGCCCTATATAGATGGAAGGAGGGAGTATGTGTGTGTGTGCGCGCGCTTTTTTTTTTCTTTCCGTCGCGCACGCAAGCGCACACCCCTCTACACTAACTCATTTGTACTACAAAATCAATAAATATCCAATGAAGTCAATACTATCCAAATCTATTTCAAGATTTAAAAAACACATTGCTTTTAAATCAAATCGGTCAAATCAAAATCCTTTCTTTTTAGGTCTGTGTAGGGTACATTAGATGTGACATAATTAAGTCATGTTATGGATGACATCATTTCTTTTTGTGGCCCTATTTTTGTTGTGGATTGTTTGTTGCTGGTTGTAGGTTGTTCTATTTTGAGCTAGGCGAACGTTGTTTTCTTTTTTTAGCACAAACTCGCTGCCTAGACTCTTAGAGGGGCTAGCTACAACATCACATATATCTTGTGCGGACAAAAGCATGAACGATGAAACACTAACTAAACCATCCAGATAGTGCTCTAGACCTCACCAAGCACAGCAACCGCATATCCACACACGGACCATATAAGTTTTGCTTATCAAAGGTGTTGCAAAACACATCACGTTGTCTTGTGGGTGCCCTATTTCACATTATTTGTTGGAGCGCTTGATAATAATATAAAAATAGTACTTGGTGATGCAAATTTTGCTCCAGTCACGTAGCCCCCATGTGGTCTGTTGGTGATGTAAAATTTGCTTGAGAGCCTCAAGTGATGCAAATTTGCATCACGGCTTATTTTACATCACGACCTATCCCCTGAGTAAAAATATTTGCATCTACATTATTTATTTGAAGGAAATATGCCAGGCAATAATAAAATTGTTATTTATATTTCCCTATATCATGATAAATCTTTATTATTCATACTAGAATTGTATTATCCGGGAACTTAGTACATGTGTGAATACATAGACAAACAGAGTGTCGCTAGTATGCCTCTACTTGACTACCTCGTTAATCAAAGATGGTTAAGTTTCCTAGCCATAGACATGAGTTGTCATTTGATGAACGGGATCACATCATTAGAGAATGATGTGATTGACTTGACCCATCCGTTAGCTTAACACTATGATCGTTTAGTTTATTGCTATTGCTTTCTCCATAATATATACATGTTTCTATGACTATGAGATTATGCAACTCACGAATACCGGAGGAACACTTAGTGTGCTATCAAACATCACAACATAACTGGGTGATTATAAAGATGCTCTACAGGTGTCTCCGATGGTATTTGTTGAGTTGGCATAGATCGAGATTAGGATTTATCACTCCGATTGTCGGAGAGGTATCTTTGGGCCCTCTCGGTAATGCACATCACTATAAGCCTTGCAAGCAATGTGACTAATGAGTTAGTTTCGGGATGTTGCATTACGGAACGAGTAAAGAGACTTGCCGGTAACGAGATTGAACTAGGTATGATGATATCGACGATCGAATCTCGGGCAAGTAACATACCGATGACAAAGGGAACAAATGTATGTTGTTATGCGGTTTGACCGATAAAGATCTTCGTAGAATATGTAGGAACCACTATGAGCATCCATGTTCCGTTATTGGTTATTGACCAGAGATGAGTCTCGGTCATGTCTACATAGTTCTCGTACCCGTAGGGTCCGCATGCTTAACGTTCGACGATGATATGTATTATGAGTTATGAGATTTGATGTATTGAAGATAGTTCGGAGTCCCGGATGTGATCACGGACATAACGAGGAGTCTCGAAATGGTCGAGACATGAAGATTGATATATTGGAAGGCTATGTTTGGACACTGGAAATGTTTCGGATAGGTTCGGGCATTTTCCGGAATACCGGGAGGTTACCGGAACCCCCCGGGGAGTTAATGGGCCTTAATGGGCCATGGTGGGAGAGAGGAGGAGGCGTCCAAGTGGGAGGCGTGCGCCCCCCAAGCCCAATCCAAATTGGGAGGGGGGCCGCCCCCCTTTCCTTCTCTCCCTCTTCATCTTCCTTCCCCCCCTACTCCAACTAGGGAAAGGGGGAAACCTACTCCTAGGAGTAGGAATCCCCCCTTGGGGCGCGCCATAGGAGGCCGGCCCTCCCCTCCTCCACTCCTTTATATACGGGGGAGGGGGGCACCCCATAGACACATAAGTTAATCTCTTAGCCGTGTGCGGTGCCCCCCTTCACAGATTTCCATCTCGGTCATATTGCCATAGTGCTTAGGCGAAGCCCTGCGTTGGTAACTTCAGCATCACCGTCAACACGCCGTCGTGCTGACGAAACTCTCCCTCGGCCTCAGCTGGATCTAGAGTTCGAGGGACATCATCGAGCTGAACATGTGCAGATCGCGGAGGTGTTGTGCGTTCGGTACTTGATCGGTTGGATCGCAAAGACGTTCGACTACATCAACCGCGTTACTTAACGCTTCCGCTTTTGGTCTACAAGCGTACATAGACACACTCTCCCTCTCGTTTCTATGCATCCCTAGATAGATCTTGCGTGATCGTAGGAATTTTTTTGAAATACTGCGTTCCACAACAGTGGCATCCGAGTCAAGTCTATGCGTAGATGTTATATGCACGAGTAGAACACAAAGGAGTTGTGGGCGTGGGTATATACATATTGCTTGCCATCACTAGTTGTTTCTTGATTCGGCGGTATTGTTGGATGAAGCGGCCCGGACCGACATTACATGACCACGTTCATGAGACTGGTTCTACCAACGTGCTTTGCACACAGGTGACTGGCGGGTGTCAGTTTCTCCAACTTTAGTTGATTCGGATTCAATGAACAGGGTTCTTTCTGAAGATCAAAAAGCAATCACTATACCGCGTTGTGGTTTTTGATGTGTAGGTAAGAACGGTTCTTACTAAGCCCGTAGCAGCCATGTAAAACTTGCAACAACAAAGTAGAGGACATCTAACTTGTTTTTGCAGGGCATCTTGTGATGTGATATGGTCAAGACGTGATTATATAAATTATTGTATGAGATGATCATGTTTTGTGACACAGTTATCAGCAACTGGCAGGAGCCATATGGTTGTCGCTTTATTGTATGAAATGCAATCGCTATGTAATTGCTTTACTTTATGACTAAGCGGTAGCGATAGTCGTAGAAGCAATAGTTGCGAGACGACAACAATGCTACCATGGAGATCAAGGTGTCAAGCCGGTGACGATGGTGATCATGACAGTGCTTTGGAGATTGAGATCAAAGGCACAAGATGATGATGGCCATATCATATCACTTATATTGATTGCATGTGATCTTTATCCTTTATGCATCTTATTTTGCTTAGTATGACGGTAGCATTATAAGATGATCTCTCACTAAATTTCAAGGTACAAGTGCTCTCCCTAAGTATGCACCGTTGCTACAGTTCGTCGTGCCGAGACACCACGTGATGATCGGGTGTGATAAGCTCTACGTTCACATACAACATGTGCAAGCCAGTTTTGCACAAGCAGAATACTCGGGTTAAACTTGACGAGCCTAGCATATGCAGATATGGCCTCGGAACACTGAGACCGAAAGGTTGAGCGTGAATCATATAGTAGATATGATCAACATAGTGATGTTCACCATTGAAAACTACTCCATCTCACGTGATGATCGGACATGGTTTAGTTGATATGGATCGCGTGATCACTTAGATGATTAGAGGGATGTCTATCTAAGTGGGAGTTCTTAAGTAATATGATTAATTGAACTTTAATTTATCATGAACTTAGTACCTGATAGTATTTTGCATGTCTATGTTGTTGTAGATAAATGGCCCGTGCTGTTGTTCTGTTGAATTTTAATGCATTCCTAGAGAAAGCTAAGTTGAAAGATGATGGTAGCAACTACATGGACTGGGTCCGTAACTTGAGGATTATCCTCATTGCTGCATAGAAGAATTATGTCCTGGAAGCACCGCTAGGTGCCAAACCCGCTGCAGGAGCAACTCGAGATGTTATGAACACCTGGCAGAGCAAAGCTGATGACTACTTGATAGTTCAGTGTGCCATGCTTTATGGCTTAGAACCGGGACTTCAACGATGTTTTGAACGTCATGGAGCATATGAGATGTTCCAAGAGTTGAAGTTAATATTTCAAGCTAATGCCCGGATTGAGAGATATGAAGTCTCCAATAAGTTCTACAACTGCAAAATGGAGGAGAATAGTTCTGTTAGTGAGCACATACTCAGAATGTCTGGGTACCACAATCACTTGACTCAGCTGGGACTTAATCTTCCGGTTGATAGTGTCATTGATAGAGTTTTTCAATCACTGCCACCAAGCTACAAAAGCTTCATGATGAACTATAATATGGAAGGGATGGATAAGACAATTCCCGAGCTCTTCGCGATGCTAAAGGCTACGGAGGTAGAAATCAAGAAGGACCATCAAGTGTTGATGGTCAACAAGACCACCAGTTTCAATAAGAAGGGCAAAGGAAGAAGGGGAACTTCAAGAAGAACAGCAAGCAAGTTGTTGCTCAAGTGAAGAAGCCCAAGTCTAGACCTAAGCCTGAGACTGAGTGCTTCTACTGCAAAGGGATCGGTCACTGGAAGTGGAACTGCCCCAAGTATTTGGCGGATAGGAAGGATGGCAAAGT